ATGCATTTAAATATTCAATTACAGACTTCGTTTTATACATTTAGTATTGGTACCATTGCGCAAAATTATGACGTCGTTTCCTTTTAAATTTACCTACTATAAATAACTATTGAAATTAAATAAAAATATTATTTTAATAATACCATTAAATTAATATACATTACATTACATTATTTAGTGCTGTCCAAGCATAATTTTCCAATGTAATTTATGTTATTTCTGGAAGACAGTTTAGTAGGGTAATTTACTTTGTGAAATGACCGGACCAGTTAATTTGAACTGCCGTGGGCAGACAACCAATTCGCCCATGCATAAAACAATCTTGGAATTTAGAAAACAAACTCGAATTTTATACATTTTATAAAAGTATTTAATTGGAATGTTCTAAAAGCATGTGGGGAAAGAACAGAAATCATAAATAAATGCACAAAATTAAGAAATTAATGAATTCCTAGAAATACTATAAATCATATAAATATCGGGAAAGCAATAAAGCTAAGAGGAAAAACAAACAAAGTTAAAATAAAAAGGATTGTAGTAATCATGAACACATAAATATTATTTAATTTAAAAACATTTTTAAAAAAGGAGATTTCGGTGAAATCCATCCAAAATCAAGAATTCGTTTATTAGTTTAGTTTTTGGACTAAATTACAATATTATGGCTTTCTCAGTCTCTATAGTGTATTGCATCAAAAATTTTTAGATTTCAACAAATTTTGAAACTTACTCTCTTAAAATGAATTAGTCAAAAATGACTAATTGTCATAGTGAAAAAGAAGCCACTAATAATTCTGATCAACAGCAATTTGTATCTCAGACATTTACCAGTCAATTTCTAAAATTGTAAAATAAAATGTGGGCCACCTGATGGTTTCTTTTTGAAATTGCTATTTATACTACAATGCTTTTATTTTTAAATATTTGCTTTATTAAAGAAAGTGCACCTTTGATTATTTATGGAAAATAGTCGATCCTGTTCAAACAATTTTGCAGTACATTTTGTATTATTTGTGGCTCCATAGCTTAACGAATGTTTTTCTTCAACACAGTAAAAAAATATTTGTAAATTTTACTAAATATTAACCAGATTTTATGTTCAGGTCCACATAACTTTATGTTAAGTTTACAACCAACTGTAATCTGTAAGTAGTTTGTAATTATAACAAACATTTTATAGATTTAATAACAAAATCCTGTTAATATTTTAACCATAATTTCTGTAATTTTTAAAAAGGACCAGTGGCGGCTCGTGGGTGTACAGGAGGGTGAGGCTACATAAGGTTAATTTTGTCTAAATACGAATAAATTTCCACGTCACCTGGAAGGTATTATTCTGCGACGCGTTGACCTTTTTTAAAATGGAGCCGATAGCACTACTAAACCAAAAAATAAACTTTAAAAAACAAAACAAACAAAATATCACATCAAAGACTATAGTCTTTGATTAAAACTATAGTTTTAATCTTAAACTTAAAATATAGTCTTAAAAAAGTTAAAAATAAATAAATTAATCAAAAAATAAAAATAAAACTAAAAAGTCGACCCCTACCTAAGTATTAAAAAATATAAAATACTATACGTCTATCTTTTAAGATTGAAAATTTATCTATTATTTGGTCGTAAAATTGTGGGTCTGCACTGCAGACTCTGCAGTGAGATTTAAAAGTAATTCTAAATTTTCAAACCGCGTCTCTAATTGAAGAATTATGCAATCTATTATTTGAAAATATAAAATTTGCTTAATAAAAACTGCTAAATCTACCTTAGTGTGTTCCCTACAATAATTAAATAAGAAATTTTACTAATCGAGACAAAAACTATAAAAGATCAGCCAAAAGTTTTAAATAATTTAATCTGAATCAAAACATCTACATCTACAAACGCTAAGAGAAGACTGGCAACCTTCTTTGTCTCCGCTGGCATCCCACCATAAACGGACCACCAATCAGAACAAACCAAGCTAACTAAATATCGCCTCATCTACGGTGTTTATTCGTGAACTTACGGCGATATTTTTGTTGGTGAGTCATTTTCGCTTTCAAGAGGTAAATGGGAGCTTCCGAGGCTGTGAAAATTTCGCCTCTGTCCAAGCGACTTTCAACGATGCACGTTAACTTGACGCGCTTTGCGCCTGGATTTTTATTTACGCTTAGTATGATTGATTGGTTTTTTACTTTTTATTGGGTAGAACTGTTGTAAAAATATACTTCTAATAGGCAAAAATATAATTACAAAAAGTCGTTCATTCCTTCATTTTAAGGGTGAGGCGCGGCCTCAGAGGCCTACCCTGACGAGCCGCCACTGAAAAGGACCCTATTTTTACAAACCTTTTTGTAGACCCAGTAACAAAAATATATGTTGGAAATTGGGAACTTAATTAATCAATTTCCTTGTAAAATAATACAAAATGTGAAAATTATTTTATTATTTCAATACAAAAATACAAAAGTATTAAATAGTTTCTTAACGCCAATAGTTAAAAAGTTTATATGAACATTGGTATTGACCTTTTAATTTCGCTGGCAGTAAACTAGATTTAACTTAATTTCGGGTGAAGACTCAAGCGTGAAGTGCTTATAAAACATTGTCTTTACTTTATTCCCAAGTTGGTCACTCTATTGTTTTATGGATGTTGCTCATTTAAATTTAAAATACAAAATTACGACAAAAAGCTACTCTTACTCGATAAAAGAGTTTTTGAATAATGAATTGAGGGAGTGATTACTTTGAGCACTCTGTAGTTTTAAAATTGTTCATATATATTTTAAATATATTTCCTGCTAAATGTGATATTAATTTGATATTATATTGTACCTCATGTGTTGTCAATTTTTTATTATTTTTAATAATTTTATTGTTTTATTATTTTATTACAACCTGCATTGACACGCAATAAATATTATTAAATGTTATCATACATCATTTAAATTATTTTTAGATAATAATAAGTATTTGTCGTATAAAATGTATAGTATGCAACTTGTTTATAAACTTTTCTGAAGACCTACTTTTTTAATTAAATATTCTCTCGCAAGCTCGCTTGTGCCTAATTTAAATTCGTGACTAAAATGAAGTTTATCAAACTTGATACATAATATACTATTATTTATTACAAAAAAAAATTATATTATATTATATTCTTTTACATAAATTATAATTATTGGCAATTGGAACAATTTTTTTTGTCATGCCAAATAAGTATAACTTCTAACGCCCCTCATTATTTTCCTTATTCTCAAAATATTTATGTCGGTCAAAAAATTTTGTTGATGAACTTTTTTACATGAAATCAGATGTTTTTAATTTTAAAAATACTATTAAAAAACATATTTTTCAATCAAATGCCCTATATATTTTTGATACCTCGATAGATAAATAACACTTATATATTTACTTCAAAAGTAACATTTATTATTATTATGAGACATAATAAGCGCGAAAACACTATGCTCACTAATAGTCTAGTAGTAGTAGATCTAGAAAAAAATAAACAATTAGCAAGCCATGATTTTCCGCTTTGGTATACGCATTTTTATGAGATAAATAAAAAACATTACATCTTTCTTCTAAAGAATAATGCATTTTTTAAATTTGTAACAGCAGAAATTTGTCAGCATCCAAATAAACGTGTGTTTTTATTGTTTAATTTTTCTTTACTAGTGAGCTTAGTCTTTTTACGCTTATTATGTCTTATTTAATTGTTATTTTTGGAGTAATATATAAGTATTATTATATGTCCTATATTAAAATCTGGTGATCCTGCAGATATAATAAACTATCGCCCTATTTCAATTCTTAATAACTTCGCTAAGGTCGAGATGTCCATGCATAAACGCCTATACTACCAGCTATTACCAGTTATTGCTTTTCAACAACATGGATTTATTTTAAGACGTTCAACAATATGTAATTTAGCAGAAAAAAAACCGAATTTATTACTAATGTTATTAACGAACAAGGGCAGGTTGACGTTGTGTACACGGACTCGAAGGCTTTTGACACAATTGATAATAGAATTTTATGCTGCAAATTGAAGGAATATGGTTTTTGTGATTCGTTTGTTGCACTTTTACGTTCGTATTTATATAATCGTAAACAATTCGTGGTATATAACATCTTTAAGTCTCAAGCTTACTTCGCTACGTCAGGAGTTCCACAAGGATCCAATTTTGGTCCAATTTTATTTACAATTTATATTAATGACCTAACGAGTAAACTTGATTGTAAAAGTTTGTTTTTAGCAATATAAAAGGCGTATCTGATTGTATAAGTCTGCAGTCACAGATTGTGTTCAGTCATGGTGTTAAATTATTAAGTTAGGTATGAATGTTGGTAAATGCAAAGTCTGCTCGTACACTTATAAACAAAATGCTATTATTTACAACTAGCATTATAACAATACCTAGTTAGTTCGATGCAATGAGGTCAACGATTTGGGTTTATTGTTTGATTCTAAACTCACTTTTTCTGCACATAACATCGTTGTGGCTTCTTTAAGATTGTTGGGATTTATTATAAGAAACTGTAATACATTTACAAACATAACCGTCTTAAACTCATTATATTTTTCTCTAGTAAGGTCGAAACTTAAATATGGTGCCTATTTTTAACACCTAATTAAACTACATTGAAATTGTTCAAAGAAGAATTTTAAAATTCTTATCTTTTAGAACAGATGGTGTTTACCCTCCAAGAGGTACAGATCATGCACACCAGACACAATTTTATATCTTTGCGTATCAGAAGAATACTTTTATCTATTACTTTTTTATTTAAACTTTTGCACAACTTAATTGACTCACCATTTCTACTAAGCAAAATTAATTTTTTAGTGCCTAGACCAAATTTACGAAGTCATCCTGCTTTTTACTGCAGGCTAGAGAAGAAAAATACGTAATAGTTTTAGGCAGCAATTGCGTTATTTAATCACAATTTTGTTCTACATTTGCACATACTTAAATACACAGGTATTTATATCGAGCTGATTATTCTTATCAGCACCATACGAGTTTTTTTATAATTTCGACCTGTTTTAGTTTGGCTATACGTGCCAGTATATAAATTTGTAAAAAGGTATGATTTTATTGGATTTAATTATTTAAAATAATATTTTTTTAATGCTAAAACTTACAATAAATTATTACATATACTATTTTATGCATACGTGTTTATGTCAATAAAAACACAATGGAGATTTAAATTGTGATAACAAATAGGATATGTAATGTTTATATTTTAGGTTATTGCATTAAAACATTAAAAAAATAATCCATTATTTTTATAAAAGGGTTTAATAATCTATTTGAGTAGATTGGCTGCCCATCATGGGCATAGACTAAGGTCAACAAAATTCTAAAAAAAATAGGATATAATATATTATATACACAAACATCTAACCATAAAAGCAACCAGAGTCTATTTAATAGACTATTGAACCCTTTCATAAAATAATGGATTATTTTTTAAACATAATATGTATCGGACAAAAATATTTTTTCTTATTTGCATTTGACTAAAATTATGTAATTTAATCTTAACCGTTTTACTATATAATGTTGTACAAATATTATAAATATTCCCCAACACCAAAAACAAAACATAAAGTTCTTAAAGTACTTTTCCCCAACGATGTTGGCATCTTCAGAAGCGAAGTGTAACTAAATCTAATAAGCACTTTGTGTTTTCTAATATTTGTTTAACATATCCAAAGTTGTCCTTTTTCAAGTATAAAATGTTATAAAATGTTGTGCTAAAATAATATGAACACACAGTTTTTATTTTATAGCCATAATTATTAAATTTCACATAATATTAATATGTAGTCTATTTTTTGAATGTTTTACTTTGCTTTATCAGTTTGTGAACCAAGCACAGACATTACAATTTGCCGTTTTCTTTGTATACGTATGAGGGATGTATGCTGGACGTTTATCACAATACAAAACATTCAAAAAATAAACTGTACCTAAATATTAATTTAATTGAATTTGTTTTTAGCATTAATTTAATTTTTTTGTTTTAATAACTGTCATTATTTTTCTTTGAAATCGTTACAACTTTTATTTTCAATTTCAATAATAATGTTCAAAAAGTATTGTCGTCCGTTATATGTCATAGACATACATGCATGTATGTCTATGACATATAACGGACATGTTTAAAGAGCGTTTTTTTGTTATAATGGTGTTATATGAAGGCATGTCAAAGTGTTTTGTATAATATAAAAGTATATTTTTAGGACGACCACAACCACATAAACAAAGCTATAATTTCAACAAAAAAATTAGAAAATGTCAGACGGATGTCACCAAATCAAAATTTCAAACAATAAAATATTTACATTAAGTAAGCTATGGCGCGCCGTTTTGCTATTTAATGTATCTAGCATATTGCTTTAATAAAAAGTAAAACGGCGCACCAGAAACACGCGCCAAATTAGTATTTAATATTATTCCACTGTTAGTTCTGTTTAAAGTTACTTTGTTTAAATGAATACCAATTTGAAGCAGGACTTTGTATAAAATTTTACAATATATAATAATAATACCTATAATGCAGAAATAATAGCAATACCTTGGCACAAATTGAATAAAATTTATCATCTGTTGAATTTGTAGTTTTAGGTAATTAACAGAACTGCAAAAATAATTAAAACGAAGAAATAGATGTGTTCACTAATGCAAAAATTAAATAAAATTTTAGCGACAACTTATAACTTGGTTTTTGGCAACACTCGCCTATTGCAAGAATAAATTTTTACAATAGGCTAGCATTGTAAAAATAAAAACAATTGTTAAATACCAAGTTTTTAATATTAATTATTGCAACACTCATATACTGTACAAAATATTTTTTACAATACTTATGTATTGCAATAATTAAAACAACAATGACTTTTTATCGCATTTATCCTTGTCGTGTATTGAAAAAATTGCTAAAATTACATTAGACAAGTAATTTAACATTTGAATTTTTACAATACCCGAGTATTGTAATAAATGTGGTAGACCTGTGTTGCATAAAATAATTCCCCCATAATTCCCTAAACAAAATTGGAACAACCAGAGATATGGAGGTGGGAACAACACTTATGTTGGCAATGGTGATAATCGACCATCTTGTTAAAAATGGTAAACATAACCTTACTATTTCTGTTTTGTAAACAACGTGCGATATTGAGGTTAGCTAGGAAAACTGCGAACTAAAAATGGTTAAAATACTATGAAAGTGTTGTGGTCAGAGGTGCAGTGATAAAACTTCGCCAGGGTAAGTACCTTTTACGTGATTATCTACAATGTTTGTTCGTTTGCCTGTTCAAATCAGAAAAACTTATAATGGAATATATATAAATTTGTAAATTTTGGTTTTTATCACCTTTATGCATAGATATCTAGGCCTTTATGATCGGTGGTTTCTATAAACACAGAAAAACGAAGCTAATATAAGCTTTTATTTAAAGGTTTACCAATGGCAAATGCCATATCAACAAACAAAGTTGTTGGACACAAAGAGTCTTCGTGGGTTGAGTGAATAAAAAATGGGAAGCTGATGGCCCAAGAAGAAGAGGAATCAGGACCCCTACAAAGGTATACCTTTCCAACATGTATGATCATTCATCAATAGCTTCTTCACTCAACGGTGTTACTTAATGTTATGTTCTTATTCTTGGGCTAATTTTATCTCCAAAAGCTTGGTTTTAAATATTTTTTTGTTTTGGTTTTTATCAAAAATTTCAAAAACTGTTTAGAATATTACATAAAATTTTAGGATGGTATTTTAATAATACAATATAGTATGAAACAAAGTTTTTAACCAAAAAAGTAGTTTTTATTTAACCAGTGTAATTATTATGAATAATTTCTAATTTTGAATTTTAAATAGAAAATAGGACAGTAATTTATGTTCAATTTATTTTTAGATTATAATGAACCCCCATCATAACATTGCTATTTTCTCTCTAAAACCACACATGGCTCTGGAAAAAGTGAAAAATTGTATTAAAAGAATTAATACCATAATTTTTTTATACATATATTTTTTATGGAAATTTTCAAAAACCTGCCTGTTAGAGATGTAAGAGCTGTTCCCTTAACACCCAAAGATGGTAGTCCAGTTTTGAAAGTTAAGAAAATCAAAAAAGTAAACAAAAGAGAAGAGTTTCCTGTTGTCCTTGCCTACAAATCACAGATTCTGCGATGCGATAATAAACTAAACACCCTGTATAATAAATTTAAAAAAATAGGTTCAGCCACAAAGGGTTAAAATTTAACCGTTAAATAATGTTTTGTTATTCTTTAGTTAATTGTTAATGTTCTATAATTTTACTACTTGTTTTTTATCACCAAAGCTATAAAGTTTATAGCTTAATCATATGGTTTATAGAATAAACCATATAATTAACTGTTAAATAATTTATTGTTATGGTTTTTATTTGTTAATAATCCATATAATATACTGTTTTAAAATATTACTTGTTTTTCAAACCACATTTGCTATACATAATTATATTAAAATTAATTTAAATTTCCTGGGTAGATATACTTGAAAATTTACAGAATTCTATTGAAGGGAGTTTTACTATTTAAACTCTTTTAAACCAATAACTGAATAATTTAAGTATTCTAACATTTCCAAATTAATAACAACAATTTATAAACTTTTTTATTACAAATAAATTGGTTTCAAAATCATTGGTAATAAAAAAAATTATTTAATTATTAAATTACTGTGTATGACTTTTATAATTAAATTAATGAAATAATAAATAAATAATAACAAATAAAAATTTATTAAAAATTAAGTACCTACTTAATACATACACTTTGTATTTTTGTGTTTAATAAAAACCTAGATATCCAATTTATTAGTTTTTCTTATTAGCGTATTTAATGGTTCTTAAAAAAGGGGGAAAAATTTATTTGTGACTACGTAACGTAGTCTACAAAGTCTATGTTCACCAGGTTTTGCGACTTCGCAAATCATGTTAATTTGGTTAAAAGTATTTGTACTATCATTGCAGTTGTTCCAGATAAAAATATTAATAATTTTTTGGTATCTATAGGTATTGTCAAACCTACTAGTTCTTACATGGATATTATCTTCATGATAATTTTTGTTAAGGGTAATTGAGCCAGCTAAAATTATTATTAACTGATGCCTAAAAACTTGCAGGAAAATCATTAAATTAGACCTTGTCTCAAGGCTGGTCCTTGTGTAGTTATGTAATATAACATACAGCAAGCATAAGTGTGATATTGTATAATAAGTATATTTTGTTAGTATATCTGTACAGATTGTTTTATCACTGCACCTCTGACCACAACACTTTCGTAGTCTTTTAACCATTTTTAGTTCGCAGTTTTCCTAGCTAACCTCAATATCGCACGTTGTCTACAAAACGGAAATAGTAAGGTTATGTTTACCATTTTTAACAAGATGCATGGTCGATTATCAGCATTGCCAACATAAGTGTTGTTCCAATTTTGTTTAGGGAATTATGGGGGAATTATTTTATGCAACACAGGTCTACCACATTTATTACAATACTCGGGTATTGTAAAAATTCAAATGTGTTTTTAGCAATTGTTTCAATATACGACAATGAAAATTGTAATAAATAATCATAGTTGTTTTAATTATAGCAATACATAAGTGTTGCAAAAAATATTTTGTACAATATATGAGTGTTGCAATAATTAATCTTAAAATATTGGTATTTGAACAATTGTTTTTATTTTTACAATACCTGCCTATTGTAAGAATTAATTCTTGCAATAGTCGAGTGTTACCAAAACCAAGTTATAAGTTGTCGCTAAAATTTTATTTAATTTTTGCATTAGAGAACACATCTATTTTTGTAGACTTTCTTTGTTTAAATTAATTTTTGGAGTTTCGTTAAATATCTGATAAATTTATTAAATGAATTGTCAAAATAACTTTCTTGCTCTTAAAGTGTTGCGTTAATTTTTGCAACATATAAAACGATATATTTAAAAACAAGCAGACCATTGTAAAAATTAACGTTACATTAAAACATTTACTATATTCAACCATAAAGTTGTTCAATTTAAATTAAATAGCAATACGGCGCGCCATAGTAAGCCTTTAAACTGAATTACGCTGAATATTAGGGTGTCCAACTTGGTTTTTTTGTTTGCAGCGCCCCCTAAATTTTTAGTTTATGACCTAAAAAGAATTATAAAAAAAATTATAAAAAAAAATATTTATTTTAAACCGTGCCACAAAGACGATACATTTTCCGTTTAAATAACATGGGGTTTATATTTTTTTTCTCTGAAGCAAGTTAAAATACAGCAAAAAGTGATACATATTTTTATACGAAATTGAACGCTGTACAAAAAAACTTTCCTATGATTTTTCGATAAATTCACTGGTTTAAAAGTTATTTAAGGTAAAAATTGAACTAATAGTAATTTTTTCGATTTTTTTACTTTGACTGCAAAATAATCATTATTTTTATGAAAATAAATTGTTAATTTTTGAAAATATGTGATTTTATGTATGTATTATTGAAAAAGTAAAAATTATTAAAAAGAATCTGGTACTAGTTTTACTCAAATTTAGAAGGATTACTTTTTTTACATAATATTTTTATTTCTGTGAAATTTTACAAAACGCCATTTTAGTTACGAGTTTTATTAGGCACGAGCGAAGGTTATTAAAAACGAGTGTCTAGATAAGTTTATAAAGCGAGTTGCATACTAAGTATACTTTATCTACGACGAACACAAAGAAGAATTTAAAGCCAATTATATTTGTTAAACATTTGACATCTGTCAAATGTCAATGGAATTAACCTCACTTTTCTCTAATATATAATAAAGCTAATTTCAGCCCGTGACTAAAATTCCCAAAAGCCACTACTTATTGCCAACTTCAGCCCGTGACTAAAGCGCCATAAAGTCACAGCTCGCCAATGTAGAAGTAGATAAATACATTTAACTTATTTGAAAAGGATAATTGGTGTAGCGAAAATGTCTGCTCTCATACTCAAGACAACTTATGTGTAACTACGAATTTTATTTTGTCGTAAAAATAATTGTTAAAAGAATTTCTACGTCATTAGCTGTACTTTTTATTGTATAATATTTTATAAAATCGAAGAATCGTAGAATTTCACAGAAATAAAAATATTATGTAAAAAAGTAATCGTACTAAAATTGAGTAAAACTAGTACCAGATTCGTTTAATGTAATAAAAAAATTGAATTTATCGAAATCTTTTGTCAATAATTTTTACTTATCTCTTTTTAATATTTTTTATTTTTTCAATAATACAATAAAATATCATTTTCAAAAATAAACAATTAATTTTCATAAAAATAATTATAATTTTGCAGTCAAAGTAAAAAAATCTAAAAAACAAGTTTAACTTTCACCTTAAATAACTTTTTAATCAGTGAATTTATGAAAAAAACATAGGAAAGCTTTTTTGTACAGCGTTCAATTTCCTATAAAAATATGTGTCTCTTATTGCTGTATTTTATAAAATGTAATCCATGAACAATATTTTAATAGTTTGGCACAGGGTGGTTATAATTTAAATCATGTGGACTAATTTAAATTTAAGAAAAAACTGTTAAACTAGTTTTTAAAAAAATTAGGTTTTGGAGAAAAAGCAAAATATTTCTTAGAAATGACTTAAGAAAAATTGGTCATAATAGAATTTGTAATAATAGAAAAAATCTACTAAAAATCAACGACCCTTAATAAGTTTTGCGGGCTTTCTTGTTTTAATTAAAAAAAATATTTTTTTATAAAAAAAAAACCCTGGGTTGGTGCATATATACATCAAAAAAAAAAATAATTTTAAAATGACAACAACTGTGCATACATAAAAAAAATCAATTTAAAATGACAACATGTTAAGTACTGCAATAAACAACTGCAGTTGTGAATTGCAGTACTTAACTAAATATTGGAAAATAAAAAGTGTCAACGAAATGATTTATGTCCGCTTAATTCGAAAATAGTTTTACACTCTTATGCCGGTTTTCCACTAAACGAACAGTTGAGTTTGGGTTTTGTTTGTGTTTTTAAAAACTTGCAAATCAAAAACAAAACTGAAACAAACCCGAAACTCTTGTTTCCATCAAGCAAACTAAGTTTTGTTCGAGTTTTGTTTTTGTTTTCGGTCCTTTTCCACTAGTTGTCGTGATTATGTCAGAACACACTTTTTCAGTATCAACCAACATGTTTAAACGTCATATAAAAACGGATGCATGAAAATTAGAACATTTCTTATCGGACGATTTTATTGAAAAACGTACAAACGTATAACGGACAAACGGATACATGAAAATTAAGCTTTAAAATTAATATTAAGGGCTCAAATTTTCACCAATTTTTTTTTTGCCATTCTGAATGACATTCTCGATATATTTTTCAAAAAAAAAGTCAATTTTTTTAGCCCAGTCTAATATATAGGTATATACCTATATGTGTATCTATTAAACTTATCCAGAGTTACAAAACAAATTTTCTATCCTCTATCTATAAAATAGGCGCGCCGCCGAGGCAGTAGATTGTGTGCGAGGTAATTAATAAGCTTTCGCCGCCGTGTTTTATATACTATTTTTTTTCAAGCTCTAAATTTCGATATTTTTTTGAAATTTTGTAACCTCATTTTTAGGTTAGGTTTAACTGTGAGACGACAAAATGTCACCATTATTGTTCGGCGGTCAATAATAATTTGACTTTTGAACTAGTACAATAATGTAGTGACTACTAGTTCAAAAGTCAAATTATTATTGACCGCCGAACAATAATGGTGAGATTTTGTCGTCTGACATTTAAACCTAACCTAAAAATGAGGTTACAAAATTTTAAAAAACTACATTGTAGTATTTCTATATAGTATATTACACTACAAGGGCAGAAAGTGTGAGATTTCTGCACTGCGCGCCATGATGCCTGAGGCGAAGCCGAGGGCATCATGGCGCGCAGTTCAGGGCTCTCACACTTTCTGCCCGTGTAGTGTATACTATTTTTCTTACTACCTCGGCTGAAAATATAACCCGGCCGAAAATACGGGAAAAAATTAAATGTGTATATCGAAATTGAAAACAAATTTTGTGGTTATATTAGAGTTGCATATGTTGAGTACTAGTGCACACGACTAAAAAATTTTTACTCCCGCTATTATAGAGGGTGCGCGTATAGCTTGACCAATGCATCAAACGTAAACTTTCTGCCGTGGAATCGGGAACGAAACAACGTATTTTCAGTCGAGGTAGTAAGAAAAATGTTTCTTACTTACCTACCAATTTAGTATGAAATTCGTATCCAGACTAAGAAAATAAAATAAAAGTCGAAAACAAAAAACACAACACGACCGTTTCCACTAAACAGACTCGAGTTTCAAAACACGTCGAAACCTTTTGATGTTACCGCTTTCGAGCGGGACTCGAAAAACAAAACTCAAACTGTCGCAAAACACGCCAGTCTTCAAAAAGTTTGCAAAAAGTTGCAGTTTTGGTTTATTCGACACGAGTTTGTGTTTTGTTTTTGTTTTGTCCGTTTGGAAAACCGGCATTACACACTATTTTTATATTTTAATTGATTAAGAACACTACTTTTAGAATTTGTATTTTGACAAATCATTTTCAAATATCAATTTAAAAGTTTAAAATGCATTTTTGTGAAAAGATATAAATTATTTTACAAAATTGAATTATTATGTTTTATAAAATAGTTAAAATATTCTCACCCATAATATAACAAGTGGTATGATTATCATCGATGATATTTTCGAATTGAAACCGAGCTGCAGATTTCACGAGTCCGCAGGACAAGTGAAATGTGCTGCTTCGGTTTCAATGAGTAAATATCATCGATAATTAATCATACCACGAGTTATATTTAGTGAGAAAATATAATGAATTTTAGGATTTAACGAATTGTCAGTTTGACATTTGAAATTAAAATGTGTTTTAAAATATAAAAAGACTTTAATAAACATTATTTATTCAAACTTACCTTAATTTTATTATCGTTTACACCAACCCATCGATATTTTAGAGTTTATAATTCATTATTTTAATCATTTAACAAACACAGTATTTAATTGTCAACAAATGTCAAATCAAGAGAAGTTTCAAAATCCTTAGCAACGTGTAAACAAGGTGATAAAAAATATTGTCGCCGTGATAAAATGCGTAACTACGGAATACTGGCATTTTATTGGTTCTAATTATAATGAATTGCATTGTCACAAAAATGCATTTGCTAATATAAAACTGATTTTATGAAATAATTTGTTAAAATTTTAACTTTTGCACTTGTACTGTTCTTAATCTCACCGATTTAATTATATTTAATTTTAATTTAATTAATTTAGTTAGTTTTTACTGGCCAAGGCTGGCACACAAAATAAAGAGTTTTTCAAATTTTAGTTTTAAAACGTTATTAACTAAACAAACTTTATGACCAAATTCCTTTCTTATAATGGAAATCACCTTGTTAAAAGTTTAAGGAAAGTACTTAGTAATAATTTGCTGCACAAGGAATTATAAATTAGAAAATTATTGGACAAAACATTTTTAAATGTTTAAATTAGCATTTTTATTGTCTTATTTTTAATTTCAGTTTTTCCTTTGTTTCCTATAAATAGTTTTTATCAAGTAAAAAAAGTTGTATGTACTTTTTAAAACCTTACAAACATTTTTTTATTTAAGGTTCTCTCAAATTAAGCAATAATGGGACATTATGAAAACAGTAAGTAAATATTAAATATAAAAAAACTAAGCATAAAACAAACAAATTTTAGTTGGTTATTCAAAAAATACCATATACTTGTGTCCGACAGACAAAAAACACATATGTTCATGGGAAGGCCTCAGCGATGATATTTTACAACACTTTGTGGATGAACACGAAAATCTATTGTTTCACGAAAACGAAATAGATGTATATTTACGTGAAGAATCAGAAAATAGATTGCTGTTTTGGAATGAGGAAATATTTTTGGTGCAAAGTAAGATAGTTGAGACGAATCTGTTGGTGTATTTAAGGTATTTAGGACCATTTCATCTCGCGAAATGTATAAATTATAGATTACAAGCTAAGACAAAAACTGGGGCTTGTATAAGTAATATTAAATCATTAGATGGTGCTTTTCATATAAGTGTAGAAAATATTAAAGTCGACATTCTTACATTAAAATTTACCATTCTTCTACCAGCTAAGGAGGAAAGTTCGCTTGTAGAAATTAGTACTGAAAATATAATTGAGACTGTGAAACCTACAAAAATATTAAAGGAAATACAGGAAGAGATCGAGGATAGCGACACAATTTTAGACGACATTTTCCCAGATAGACGCTTAAAAAGTTTTATCCATCGAACGCACAGCGTGCCAGTCGAGTATCGCAAAAACTGCAACGTCAAAAGGAATTATAGCCTGAATCTGTCCAAACATAACGATACTCCAATTTGTTCAAACTGCAAAGGTAGGCTCCTTCCCCCAGCTTACCTTTGCCAAGACAAACACAGCGTGTGCTCGGAGTGCCACAAAGAAAACCGTTGTAATTTGTGCGGTAAAGAGTTTACTCACGATAGAAACTATTTACTAGAAGAAAAATGTAGAAATTACACGTATCCCTGCAAATATGCATTAAAAGGTTGCAACGAGACTTTAACATACAAAAATATTTTGTACCATGAAACGAATTGCGCTCAATGCGACTATAGTTGCTGTTTGCCTGGGTGTACAGATACTGGGCAGCTATTTAAAATAAAGGAACACTTTAAAATTATGCACGGCAGCATCAAGTTGCATGAGGTTCATATAATACCGTTCCCGAGGAAATCCTGCATGTTTTTAGTGCACGAAAAAGGCGTTTTCTACTGTGAATCTACGGATGATGAAAACTTTGTAAAATGGAAAGTACAATTTTGTGGTCCAAAGGAAAGAAAGTATTCCATAAGTTTAAAGTTTTTGGATAAAACTAAAACTGAAAAGATTTTGAAGAAAATTGACAATAAATATTTGCTACAATTATCTTATGATGAAATTAAAAAAATGAAACTAAAAAATAAAAGTCCCACGTTAAATATTGGATACGTATATTGAATTGTAATATATTTCACTGTATTATATATATATAATTATAATTTAATAAATAATTATTCTTTAATTGTATTGTTTACTTTATTTTAATAAGAATCAATAACACTGTAGGGAGGTGAAAATATCAGAGCTAAACGCTCTGACACGTTAACTTAATTTTTGGTCGTAGATTACAAATCCGTGCTTCAGGTCAAAATTCAAAGATATTGGAAACACCCTGTATAATTTTTTTTAAATTAAATTTGGCGGGACCCACACATCAGTTCCAAATTAAAAAAATAACAAATTCTTGCAAAATTTGAAGTTAATTGATCAAAAGATACACGTGTCCCTAAGGGTTTTTCTTAGATAATTTAGGAAATTTAAAATGTTTTTTTGCTAATTTTTGTTTAATTTAAAAAGCATAAAACTGTTGGCACAAGAGGTAAATTATATTATTTTACAAATTATAATATATCAGTATAAAGTGTGTCCCAGGATAAGATTTCCAATAGGAAAAACTTTTTTAGACCTGATACAGCTAAACCGAGCACGGATTTGGAATCTACGACCAAAAATTATGTTTACGGGTCCGAGCGTTTAGCTGTGATATTTTAAAAGTTAAAAATTTACCTACAGTGTAATTAGTAGGGATGGGATATTTAGGTACTAAAAACTGAAAAATAGGTAACTAAAAAGGTACTAAAAAAAGCATTTTAGGTTAAAAAAAAACAGCATTTTAGGTAAAAAAAACATTAAAAGTTCAAGTTTCTTTTATAATTTTGTTTAGCCGCATACCCAAACACAGAACATAAACCCACAATAAACTATTTCTATGCAATAAACTGTGTTTCACTGAGTGACACTCACTACACAGAAATTCTATGACAGAACATAAGCTCAATACAAAGAAATACTGTAAAGAAAGTTACTGTTACAGTCTGTGACCCATAGAAATAATTTAGAATAATAGAATAATTTCTATGCTGTGACCATAAGAAAAAATTCTATACCGTCGAGTTGCACGCCCTGGATAAAATATTGGCGGAAAATTTAAAAAGAACACAAAAAATAAAATAACTAAAAATTCGTAAAAATAGATAACAAATATGTGAAAATAAACTGACAAATTAAAAAATATGTAACAAAAGTAAAAATACGTAAAAATAGATAACAATATGTGAAAATAAACTGACAAATTAAAAAATATGTAACAAAAGTATAAAAAGGTAGTTTAAAGCAAAAACCTCCAAAAAAGGTAAAAAAGGTGAAAACTAGTTAAAAAAATAGGTAAGAAAAGTATAAAAAAGGTAGTTTAAAGCAAAAACCTCCAAAAAAGGTAAAAAAGGTGAAAACAAGTTAGGTTCATATAAAAGAAAATCTTTTAAAACACATTTTGGCATTATTGGTTTTCAAATAGTTACATCGGTTGAAAAAAGGTAAAATAACTAAAATCCCATCCCTAGTAATTAGTCAACATCAAAATATGATCTGATTGGCTCTATTTAATTTTTGAATCTTGTTTGTAAAAACTTTTTTCTTTAAAAAATAAAAACTCAAATTGATTTTTTGTTTAGAAATTTTAAAATCTTTAGAAAAACCAAATATGTGACATTACTTGATGGAATGTTTTTGTTGAACATTTAGGTTTAAAAAAAACTAAACTAAAAATGAATTTGGTTATACTTGAGATATTTAAGACTAGACAGGGCATTTCAAATTAGATTTGGACATTTCCATTATTTTGCCAGCCAAAGATGTTTATATTTAATACAGTGAACTCACTCAGGAAACACCTGAAAAGATCAAAGATAGCAACACAGTTTGAAAAGTTTCATTCATCGAATGCATAGCGTGCCAGTCGAGCATCGCTAAAACTGCAACGTCAAAATGAATCATAGCCTGAATGTTTCCAAACATTACGATACTCCAATTTGTTCAAACTGCAAGTTTACCTTTACCTAGATAGACACAGTGTGCGCTAGGAGTGTCACAAAGAAAACCGTTGTAATTTGTGCGGTAAAGGGTTTACTGACCATATATACTATTTACTGGAAGAAACATGTAGAAATCATACTTACCCATGCAAAAACTCATCAAAGGGTTGCAACGAAACTTTAACCAACAAAATTATTTTGTACCATGAAATGAATTGCGTTCATTGCGACTAAAGTTAATGTTTGCCTGCGTGTACAGCTATTTAAAATAAAGGAACACTTTAAAATTATGCCTGGTAACATCAAGTTGCATAAAGTTCATGTTTAATTGTATTGTTTACTTTACTTTAATTCACACCTTAGAAAATTAAAGAATGCGCTGGCCTGTAAAGCACGCACCACACAGCAAAATTTACTAGGTAACCAGAATCTAGTTTGGGCTACCGTACGAGAATTGATTTTAGATGATTTTCTTTAAAGGTTCATTTGGAAAATTTCCACCAAACAAACTCAACATTTATAAGTTAAATTATTTAATTTGTAATTATAGTTTTAACATATTATTTTATCATTTAAATGTTACATGTAAATGGTTAAAAGCAATATAGATTCGTTTTTATCGGATTGAAAAATTGTTTATAAAACATTAAATTGCACAAATAGAAATTTAAATTGCCAATTTATTTAACTCTAAATGTTGCGTGAAATAAATAAATCCACTGAAGCAATTTATTTAAAAAAGACATTTGAATGTCAGTTGTGTTATATTTTTGAATAAAATACTTAAAAATATTATATTTTTCCAGGAATTCTAAAAATTACAAAGCCCTATTATAATTATAATACATGTATGTATAGTAGGGTGTTTCAAAATAAGGCAATATTTTTCTTTTTTCAAATTCATGTGAATATCTCATCACTTATGCTAAAAAAAAATCTGTAAAAATTTGAGCTCTTTATATTAATTTTAAAAGGTCCATCATCGAATTTAAAGTTTTCCCATTCATTTAACATGGATAAATAGTTTTTTAAGATTTATTTCGCCTGCATGCTATGTAGAACCCTTTTTTTTATAAACAATCCCTGGTCCTTTTTTAGCATTAAATTATCTACAAAAAATCCAGTTTGTAGATCTTTTTTTATTAATGTTTAAACGTATAAATTCTAAATAAAATTGATATTTTTACATTTAGCGGCGAAAGTACTAAACATAGAAGAAAAAGTTAATTAGCAATTGTGAAAAACTTTTAATGCTCTACAAATTTGTTTTAAACAATTATTTTTATCACCTGCAGCTCAAAAGTTAGTGTCTAAATTCCTATTTTTATTATTCTAATAATTATAATATTCAATGTAGGAAAAAAAAGTTTAGGGACAATTTTGCAGGAAATTTGAAGTTCTATAAATAACGTACCAAGATTCTTCAATACAATTAATCGCTGAATTTAAGCTAAAATAGCTTAACTTTTATGATATTCTTAATTTCATGATCCAGCTTTTGACTGCAAAAAAAAATTATACTTCGCTTCAAAACAGTTTTGAAATACTGAAAATAATTTTTAAGGTTTAAAATCATTTTCACCCATAATATAACAAGTGGTAATACCACTGTGGTATGTTTATCATCGATGATATTTTCGAATTGAAACCGAGCCGCAGGACGAGTGAAATGTGCTGTTCGGTTTCAATGAGTAAATATCTTCGATTATTAATCATACCACGAGTTATATTTAGTGAGAAAATACAATGAATTTTAGGAATTAAAAAATTTGTCAGATTGGCATTTAAAATTAAAATGTGCTTTAAAATATAAAAAGACTTTAATAAACCTTATTTATTCAAACTTACCTTAATTTCATTATCGTTTACACCAACCCATCGATCTTTTAGAGTTTATAATTCATTATTTTATTGATATATATCAAACACAGAATTTAAATGACAAGAAATGTTAAATCAAGAAAAGTGTCAAATTTCTTAGTAACGTGTAAACAAGATGATAAAAAATATTGCCGCTGGGATAAAATGCGGAACTATGGAATGCTGGCATTTTATTGGTTCTAATATTAATGAATTGTATTGTCAGTATATTAAAACTTTTTTGAAGCGTAAGTTATTTATAGTGCTTTGAATTTCCTGCACAATTGTATGGCAAGCCGTTTTAGTTTTTATTACACATGGCTATCAAGTCCCATTTTAATTCGACTTGATTTGCATGAGACATTAGATAATTGAAATTATATGTATTTTCCTTAAGGGAAATTACATTTTAATTACAAATTATAAATAAAATTCCTTTTTTAATAAGCATTAAAATTTTGGGTACATTAAATTGAAAAGATTAGATGTAGAGGATGATTTACATTCGAAATTGTAATAAAAATACTAAAACATTTCATTTTTATTTGAAATAATAATAAAAATTATTTTTATGACAAATAGTAATTTTAATGCAAATTTCGTTAAGGAAAGTAGTTTTTATTATAATTAAGAATTTAAATGCATTTCCGTTAACGGAAATGCAATTTCCCTTAAGGGAAATATCATTTCTGTTAAGAGAAATTGTATTTCCCTTAAGGGAAATAGCATTTCCGTTAAGGGAAATTGGCGCCATCTATGAGAGGACGGCTGAAGTTCAAATAGTTAATTTTATCAAAATTCTATAAAATGAAATTATTGCACTGTGATTTTACAAAAGATTTATTAGTAAAAAGAATTTTTTTGATTGTTACCTTTTTAATTTAAAAACCAACCGTTCACATCCACCCACAAAATATCACCCACCAGTGTTGCCAGATGTAAAAAGTGAAATTATCGACAAATCATCGACAAATTATTGACAAAATTATCGAATTTTCAGAAAATTGTCACAAAATTTGTATTGATAATGCTATAATAATAGTAATATTAATAATTATGGGTACTACTCGAGAAAACCAAACTCTCCGAATCGAATCGCGATGACACCGATCGACTTTGGAATCGCATCATTCGAATCGAATGTTGTGTGGCAACGCCGCATGTGTAAGGTGTGTTTTAACGTTTCTAATAAAGGATATTAAAACGAAAAGAAGTAGTAAATAGCAAACTGTAGTAGTAATATTATTCATTATTGTTAATTGTGTCATATTGGTTGCATTCAAACAAAATGAAAGATTCTGGCATCCCAACCAAAGTTGGCAGAACTCTGTAAGCGGTGGAACCTTCGGCATCTTCACCACAGATAGCGCCACTAATTTCTCTTAAGGGAAATGTAATTTCTGTTAAGGGAAATAGCATTTTCGTTAAGGGAAATAACATTTTCGTTAAGGGAATTGTAATTTCCCTTAACGGAAATGGAAGTTTATTTTTGTTTATTTAAAAATAAAAGTAATTCGAGCTATTTTTTGTACACATGATCATTAAGTCTCATTTTAATTCGATGTTATTTTCTGATTCTCTAAATATTGTTAGACTCTATATATTGCGGTTCTAAATTTTATTCGGGAACAACATTTCAATCAGTATTTTAAATTAAAATGTTTTTAATTTTTATGTCATTTAGGAAAGTATAAAACTATATCTTTAAGGACAAATGCATTTATATTCGTAATAGTAATTTTAATTCGTTTTATTTTAATACTTAGCTTGGTCTAAATTAACATAAATAAAATGTAACATTGTATCCAAGTCAGAAGCTACTTTAATAAAATTGAATTAAAATAAAATCCTTTTAATGTGTCATAAAATTGCTCCAAAAAACTAAAACAGTAAAAATAATTTGCATTAAAATTATAATTAGTAAATTTAATAAAATTTCTGTTAACGAAAATTGCTTTCACGTTAAGGACAATATTTAAAAATCCAATGGAAATAAATACAACAAATGCATTATTTTTACTATTTGTAAAGAAAATATGCATTCAATTTTGAAATTATAATAAAAATGTAATTTTCCTTAAGGAAAATACATATAATTTCAATTATCTAATGTCTCATAGAAATCAAGTCGAATTAAAATGAGACTTGATAGCCATGTGTAATAAAAACTAAAACGGCTTGCCATACAATTGTCCCTAAATTTTTTTTCCTACAGTAAATATTATAATAATATATTATGCATAATCATGAAAATAAAATTTTAGACACTTATAACTTTTAACTGTAGGTAATAAATTTTTTTTTTTTAAAACGAAGTTGTAGAACATTATAAGATCTTCAAAATTCCTAATTAACTTTTTTTAAGATTAGTGGGTTATAAAATAACCTTAAATTAACCTTCAAATTGACATTTGACATCCCTGATAGAATAAGGTTTATTTTTTACAAAAGAGGAGTAAAATGATTGTTCTTACCACTTTGAGGTCTCTTTTAAGGCTTGCAAGTCTCTCTGTAAAAAACACAACGTTTAAAACGATTATTAATCTGTACAAACCCAAAGCACAAGAATTGTAAACAATGAAAATGGCCGCCATCGTATGATGTGCAGTGATTTTTAGTATTTTTACTAAGAGATCGAACAGACCTTGTTGTGTGGATTGTGTTTTAAACAAAATTTTTAGAGAATTTTATTCTCTACAACTTTTATAATAAATGCAAATACGATAGGAGGTAGAGATATTCTCAAAAAACTGATTTTTGCGACCTTTGACCTTGAATATCAAAGGCCGCTCACACGTTGGCATATGTGACTTTTGAGACAACATTTATAATGCTAAAATAAAGGTTTGTACAAAAATTCAGCTAATTCCGTTAGATTCCGAGGTAGATCCCTTTTTTGACTAAGATGACTGTACTATATAAACTTTTATTGCCCTCCAAAGTAGTAAACAGTTTAACGATCTGAAAAACATGATAACCTCTAACTGTGTAAATAATAAAATCACCTTTTAACAAGCTAAAAATTAAAATAAAAACAATTTTAACTATCTACCTATATAAATTGATAAGCAATATTAGATACTAATTGCTTATTGAAAAAAGGCAATATTTAAAAGAAATTTAACTTATTAAATTTAGTCTAAGAAAATGTCTTGCCATATCAACGAAACAGTTTTTACAAACTTTAATCTGTTTATTTTGGATAGCAAACCCACCAAAAAGTATAACTATAAAGATGAAAAAAATATTTGTTTAGCTAGTGAAAACGGTGAAGATTCGTCCAATCAAGAAAGTACAATTTTGTCGTGCCCAATTGTTTCATGCCATTTTAAAGGATATCTAAATATTTTGCAAGCTCATTTAATGCAAAAGCACTACTCCGAAGTTGTTTTCAACAAAGAAGTTACAAGAAATTGTTCGGATAAAGATCAACAATGGACTATGATGTGCTTTAATAGCGTATTTCAATGCAAGTATTACTTTTACGAGGAATTTGTTGAAATATTTATCAGTCAGATAGATATGCAAGAAAAGACGTATGGATATGAGGCTACAATGTTATCCAACAAAAATTGTATCACAAAAACAACAAAATGTAGAAACTTTAGTAATTCTATTTTGGAGAAAGGAATTACTTTTAATGTTAGTGACTTTGTTAGTTCAAACAGGGATATTGCGCTAAAAATTAAGTTAAGGATTTTTGTGTATGAGTAAAAATTTAATAAATTTATAAGTAAAATTGCTCTTTTATTTTATCTTAACTCAATACTGGGTGAAACAAACCAAATTTTATGGTTGGAATTCGGTATAACTTTTGTTTTAAATAAAAATGTTCAAAATTGACAAACACTTTTCCAGTGCTATACAAGAAATTTGTGGAAAAAATTAGCATAAACTACATTTTTATAAAAAGTTGATTTTTTTAACTTGTGAGATAGTTTACTGCATTTTTGTGTTGAATTGAGATACAAAATTTTTCTCCATACTAGTGCATAATTATTATGCCATAATAGCTCTTGTTTTTGCGATATTATGAAAAAAACGTTTTTTAAACAAACATTTAAATTTATATATGTATATAATGTATACACTGCGAACGTTAAAAGTTATCTTTTTTTGAACGAAAAAATGTATCGACATCAGACAAAAACCACTATTAAGATACTACTTTTTGACGTCAAATTGATAGGTGCCTATTAAAGAAGTGCCAAGAGGGCAGTTTCAACTTAAAAATTTCAAATGAAAATTCGATGCTATTTAAATTTTTAATAGTTATTTACGTGTCAAGCTTTGTAAATGAATCTTTACGGGCGAGTTGGAAGTTTGTGCGGGCGGGACTATTGCAAAGTCCCGACCGTTACGCTTTAAATTATTAGTTTTTAAGGAATTAAAGAGTCAACCACGATACCTAATTTTGCCAAATAAAAACCTTGTTAAACAGCTTTAGTTTAGAACTATTTATAAAAATTTGACATTGGTAATATAATAGAACAATATTATTTTGTAAATAAAAACACGGCAACTATCCTATCCGTTACGCGTGGAATGGCCCATAAGTTAAAAATATTACATCAATTTACTGAAGATGAACCGAATAAAGAGTATAATTTTGTAAAGTTAAATAGCACCAGAGCTGGCCTGAGTACTTTTACTCGTATTTCATAAGTAATTTTATTTGAAATACTTATTATTCGTACCACAATTATTACATTGTACAAGAAGTAGACGACTAATGCTAAATTATGCAATATTAGCATTGATAATATTGCACTTTTGCAAATAAAATAAATACAATATACAATGCTTTAATAATTAATAAATTATTTATCGGTACATTTAATGCAGTAAAAATTATTTCAGTGTTTTAAAATAATATAATCTTGAACTTAATTTTTACATTACTTAATGCATTGTAAAACCCATTACCACATTACACATTTGCTTTCACCTTTGTATTCATTTAAATCAGTATACTATAACAAAATGTACTGCAATTATTATTTCTATACTTGTTCTTTACAGAAACAACTTTTTTGTTTTCATTAACGTAATTTATTAAATAGTAATTTAGCCCGTCGCTGAATTGCCAGCCACTTGATTATTTTTTGAGGTTATTTAAAATCGGCATAACCAAACCAACCAAGATACAGTCTATTTTTGAATGTTTTACATTGCGTCATCAATTTGTAAACCAAGCACAGACATTACAATTTGCTGTTTTCGTATGTGGGATGTAGGTATGCCGCAAGTATGTTGAAAAACAGGTTTTTGACATTTTAAATTGATGACGCAATGTTAAACATTAAAAAAATAGAACATATACAGTATGTCCCCGGATGCATTTTTCCGTCTCCTATAGGGCTAGCGCAACCGAGTGCGCTAATCGTGTAGGATACGGAAGCGAGACCTGTATCTCCGTTCCCTAAGTGGTTAACGCACCGCCTGTAATTAGGTATTATCACTAGAAGCTAAATGTAGCAAAGTATTCCTCAAGGTTATGACGATTAGCTGTCATTTTGGTTATGCAGGTACACTGCATTGTGCCATACCAAACTAACCCAAACTTAACAACCCAACCCAACCGACCCCGCCCCATTGTCACAATCCAGCCTGCCCTTAGATATATTATACCTCTATTTGTTCAATTGTTGCAATGAAAACTTAATAAACAATAGTCGTGTTAACTGTTGCCATGAAAACGAAAAGTAATTTTTGGGACTTAAACAAACATTCAACTAAAAGGACATATTTTTTCATGTTTCTCTTTACCGGAAAGGAAATTTGAAACGGTGGAAACTGATTCTGCCATTTTGAAACAAGCAAAAACTATTATGAAGAATACATTTTTCTCGTAAAATGAAAAATAAAGAAGTTTCTCCTCTTGGCAACCCTATCCGGGGACATACTGTATACAAGATTCTTCAACCCCTATTATGTTGTCCATTAAAAAAAATATACTTTATACGAATTTAAATGATTTCACATCTAAAATACTTTTTTTCGCAATATCGCAAAAGCAACGGATTGAGGTTTGTTTTTAGCTCATCCAAATTAAAGTGTTTGGCTACCCTGCAGCTAACAAGGGTGCAAAGATCTTAGTTCCTTAATGTCCCAAAGAAAAAACTAAGAGATGGAGGTCTAGCTGTACAATCAAGTAACCCCACTTCCAATGTATTGCCCAAAAACTACTTAACGTTCCGTTTAATTTACCACCCTGTATAATATATACAAATTCCTAATTATAAATTATGCAGTTTCCCGAATACCATCCCTCAGTACTAAGCCAGGCATTATTTACGTAAATTGGCAAAATAAAGCGCGTATAAATAGAAAATTTCATTTTAATAGCATTTGCGGTACACCGATAAGAGATAACAATAATATTATTTATTTATTTAAAAATTACACGTCACGGAATATTTCAAAGATAAGCACCGCTCCACTTTTCCCATTTAATTTTATTTTGTTGGTTTAATATGCTTGAGCAAATATTACCAGTTGATATTTTAAAAAATCTGAAGTGTTCATTATGTGGTGGTTACTTGTGTTTTATACCGTTGGCAATAGACAATAACGAAAAAGTTGTATGTGGAAAATGTTATAAAACGTTGATAAAAGAAGAACAAGGTTTTTATATTCGACAAAGGGCTTTGGAAAGTGTTCTGGGGCAATATACATTCCCGTGTAGATATCAGAAAGACGGCTGCAAGCACGTGTTCAAGTTTAATGACGATGACGGTCATGAAGAAAGCTGCAGTTTTAAATATAACCTCATTAATAATTTAGACACTACAATAAATGGCGCAAAACTCACAAACCCAAAAGAATATTCCTGCGACTCTAACGAGATCGAGACAAAGCTCAAATATAATTTAAGAGACTCAAATACTTTGGCTTACGCCCTTAGCATCAAAGGCAAAAACGGAAATACTATCGTGATCCTGGATAAAGATAAAAAACTTAAAAAAGAAAATCTGTGCATTACTTTAAGAGGACTCGCTTCAACAGGCACCGATCCCAGCATCCTTAAAAGCGAAATTGATATACACCAGATGGAAAATCTATACGAAACGCTAAAACCCAGTAAATGTCACACATGCAACACCATTGTAGCAAGTGAGGATATACATTATTGTCTTTATGGACACAGTGCCTGCAACCGATGCAAGGGAAATATGTGCATTTTGTGTATAAAACAGTTAAATGGTAAATTGACAAAATTTTGTCCGTTATGTGAGCAAGTAGAGCCTTTTGATGGCGTAAATACTCACGAATGCGAATGCAGAAACATGAAGTGTCCCATAAGTGAATGCCCAGCGAAAATTAAACTTAACAATCTCCAACAACACGTTGTTAATATGCATTTAAACGTTTATGTAGAATCTGCAGAAGTATCAAAAGAATTCTTCTTTAAAGACTCTGAATGGTTTATGAATTATAATGGAGATATTTTTAAGTGTAACTACTATTTCTACAATTTTTTCGTGGACATTTTTATTACGTTTACGGGGAATTCCAAATTAGCTGGTTTCTATAAATACGAAGTTTGTGTAATGCATGGTGATAAGGTTGTAAAGCAAAAATTAAGAACATGTGCAAATTGGAATAATAGCACATTACATGAAGGTATAACTTTTAATGCAGAAGAAGTTTTTAAAGATAATAAAAAAAGTTTTACTGCTAATGTAAAAATTTTAAAATAAATTATTTTTTTAAATGTAAAATTTTTTAAATTTGAAAATGTTTTTTTAGTAATAAAAAATATTTCAATGCTACAAAATAATTACGAGCTCAAAGATACAACCTGGTATATATTTAAGATTAGATAATTATAATTCCATTGTTTTTTTTAAGTATAATTTAACTGTTTCTTTTACTATCCATTTATGACATTGACATAAATAAAAACGTTATGTATTTTTTAGTAAACTCTATAAAAATCACTTTTTTTACATTTTTTACAGTAAACAAATATTTAATAATTTTATCCAAATAATAACCAGGTTCTACTACAACCACAGTGCTACAACACTTATTTAGTATTAACTTTAACCCCAATTTTAGTTTTAATACCAGTGGTGGCATTCTTTTTCAGACACTTTGCACACTCGTTAATAGGAATAAGGAATCTGAATAACAATAATAACAGATCTCTTGTAAATTTATTATACAATGTTTTAAAAACCAGATTTGTTAAAATGAGTTTGTAGTTTGTTAATTTTATTTTGTAAAATTTTAACATAATTTTTTATATAAAACCGGAGTTTGTAATTATTTTTACCCTTTATGGGGCTGAATCCATTAATTGTTATTTTTTTATTTTTTTTTGGTAAGACCTACCTATTTTGAATGTCTTAAGTTATTTTAATGATTATTTTGAAAATCCAACTAATTTTTTTAATTTATCATTGTGGATAAAATGGAAACCACTGCCCATAAGATGATAGATAGGCGGTGGTCTAAATGCAAACCAAATATTTAATTTAATCGTTTTTTTTTGCGTTTCTGAAAGGATTTTAGTTTTTTTTTCAGGACCAGGTAAAATAATTAGATGGTGTATGCTATAAAAAATCAAATATTTATTTCCAAATTGTTCACTGAAAACTGTCATTATTCTTATCTGGGAACGGTTTTAGCAAATTTCAATTTCTCAAAGTTTCTTCATTTTTTGATTTTCCTACTCTTGTGTTTGTGACTAAGTTACAGTGGCATTTCTGTCATGCATATTTTTATTTTTATTTTCACTGGTCAATTTTTAAAAATAACCTACTACTGGTAGTTTTCTCTGAATCTGATGAGTAATCGCGATTCTGCAGTCATCTGAAAGAACATCTGTATCAGAGTCACATTCACCCCCAAATCTATCCAAAATTTGTTTTCTGAAATGTATACTGGGTGTTCGCTCACTACGATTACGTCTTGCTGAAGTATTGGCAGAAGTTACTTGTAAATATGAAGATGTACTTGGTGAATTCAGATGAAAAGTACTTTTGGACTCTTGATGAGAGGAACTTGGTGTAACTAATACTCGTCGCTATCGCCCTCAATCTCCGAATCCATAGCCTGATCTTCGGTTATACCAAAGACTAGATAAAATAGTTTACTTAAGAATCCAATTTTTCAAAAAACCAAAAAATACTGGACGTTTATAAGCATGGATTCAATAGTATCACGGTATGTGAGCTTGATAGAGGTTATGTTCCAAAACGATCTAAATATTTTGTTAGCGCTAACCTATTTTCCAAGTACTATTATCACAAGTTGTAAAGCATTCAATTACCTTTTGAATTATGTGTGTTATCAGGTAAAACAAACATGCTTATGCTCGCTAGTAGCAACAATTACTGCAAATGTTACTTTTTCGCAATTTTGTGGGAACAGGCAAAGGTTGACATAGAGACCACATTGGTTCTAACAATTTCCAAATTTAAATTGTGGCCAATATGTTAGCCACTGCACATTATGAGTTCATTTATTTGTACTTTGGTCGAAGTTTGGGTTCTCTCTCATTTCTAAGTAAGCTGTAATGGATGTGGATAGAGACCATTAACCTATAAAGGAACGGAAAATATTTTACCGAAAGTTTTGTAAAGGTAATGCAATTTTGTAAGCATTTTGTTAGTTTTGAAGGTTACAGATTATTTTGTGAATGTTTAACAAATTAATTCGTTGAAAGTACACGTGATTTCAGGCAGCCAATCAAAACATTTCCTACTGACTTTTTTATCGTTGTATGTACATCCAGCTTCAGCACAACAATACGCATCAACAAGTTCAACTGACTTTAGCATCTTCAACTTATGTTTCTGTTTACTTTATTCTTTTCACAAAGTTGTGTGTTAGAAGTCTATTAAAATGGCATGTGCAAATTGGAAAATAAATCCGCGGTTCTCATGTAATTTGAAAAAAAAAAACAAAACCTGTTAAAACCAAAACTTTTTATAACTTCGTTATTCCTGGGAACTAAAAAAAAGTAAGTTTTATATGTAAATATACACATTTATCTTCATTATTATACGATTTATTTTTTGTTGTCTACTAGATTTTAAGTTATTATCACCATCTTTGTTTTTTTCTGTGGCTGCCATAATGAAATTTTACATAGTTGGATAGTAAAAAAAATCAATGAATCCAACGATGTATTAAACTACATAAAACAAAAGATGGTGATGGTAACGCAAAGTAAAGAAGAAATTGAATTAAAATGTAGATAAATGTGTATACCTATGTTTACATGTCAAACTTACTTTTTTTCCAATTTATAAATTTTATTTTTACCCTACCAAACAATGACAATACGCATAACAACATCCCATACTTTACGACACGTTACTTTTATTGTTAACGATATCGTCATAATTAAAAAAAGTTTTTGATCTTTGTTTTTTAAAATTGACTGAAATAATTTCATTGTGATATATAATTATAATAAACTCGCTGCAATATAAATTTCGAGTTCAATAATTAAAATAAATTGAAGAAACGTCGGAGGATTAGGATGACGAGATTTTTTAAGTGTATATCGTCAAGCTCCTAAAGAACAAAAATAAGAAGAAAATTTTATATGAACTTGTATGCTTTAAAGCTTAATTTTCAATAAAAAAAAATAAATTCGTTTCCGTTCTATTTTGATTGCTTAATAAATAAAAAATATTAAACTTACAAAAAAGCAGTAGTATACAGGGTGTCCGGGAAAAGGAAGTCAATCCGTTAACCATATATTCTTTGAGTTAAAACAATAAGACTTTCATAATACCATTTTTCAATTTAGAGCTTGAAAAAATACCGTTTGGAAGTAATTGGCGCACGTACTAAAAAATAGGGGGAGTCAGTGAGTACTGGACCCCCTATTTTGATTATTTGACAATTGTTTTTTGTTTTGTTGGTCTCAAAAAATGTAACTATTTATGTTGAAGTAGTGTACCGAATTTAAACTTAATATCTTATCAATTACTTGAATTATTAAAAAAAATCAGTTTTAAATTTCAAACTTTGTCGCCCTGTATATCGAACATGAAGCTCTAAATTGAAAAATGGTATTATGAAAGTCTTATTGTTTTAACTCAAAGAATATATGGTTAACGGATTGACCTCCTTTTCCCGGACACCCTGTATATACCCAAATTTTATTTTTTAATATTTATTTGGAATGTCCCAAATTAAATTAAATTTACAATAAATTAACCCCTATGTCCACTTATAAAAATCTTAAACGTTTTATTAAATTCGCACACAAAATAAATATTTTTTTTGTAAATTTTCCACCCTATATCTTAAAAACGAAGCTTTAAACTTACAAGTTCGTATAAACTTTCTTCTTATTTTTTTGAATTCTATCGATTACTAAATTTTCCAAATTAAAATCTAAGACACCCTGTATACATGTAGGTATTATACATATAGGATACTTGGTGCACCCTGTATATAGAAAGTGTGCAAAATTTGTCCTAATATTATTATATTTAAATAAATGTTGGAGCTGTGATAAACGGTAAGAGGGTCGTCTCTATCGTTACTAGCGATGCAACGTGTTTTAAAAGAAGTTGCATCGTTAAAAATAGTATATTTTAGTTTTGTATCATAATTATATAAAAATCCACTAAACCTTAAAATATTTATTAAATACTCGTATACTTGTAAACTTAAAAGGATAAACTTTATAGGTTTTTAAAAATTTACAAAATAAATTAGGTATATTTTTTAGCTTAAAGTAATACTTATTTGAGTGTCAAGGTTTGTAAATGAATCTTTACGGGCGAGCTGGAAGTTTGAGGGGTGAGCTACGCAGGAGCGAACCCCATAATCCAGTGAGCCTAGTAAAGATTAATTGCAAAGCGTAACACGTACAAACTTTAATTTTCACCTTTAAATAACGATTTTCAAATTTAAAATTTCAATGAATGTGTCAAATATGTAATTTCGTTTCATAAATTGCTTTTCTACAAGCCTGTAAAACTTTACAGGTCTTTTATACAAAAAAACGAATATACAGTAGTAATAATAAGTGTTGGATACCCCATGAGGTCAAAAAATGGTCTAGGAACATACATGACCTATATATATGTAAATTATATTCAAACACAAATGGTCAAGATATTTTAAAACTATATAAAACCGAAAGAAGGATATTTAAAAAGTATATAAGGTAATATAAAATTCAACTCAATGAGAATTTTATATCAAACTCCACAAATAAATCTAAGGCTACTTGGCAAATCTATAACAACAGCATTAATTTTAAGAATAAAAGCAATTTAAATGAATTCAAAATGAAAAATGAACAAAATGAAATTATAAGTGATATAAAAACTATTGCAAACTTGTTTAGCGAACAGTTTTTCTTGCAGGAAGGCCAGTTATATTTTAATTCAGACCACAAAATAATTAAAAATAACAATAGTATTTTTCTGTTACCAACTAATCCTCATGAGGTTATCAAAAGTATAAAAAATTTACCAATCAAGAAATCAACAGGTATTGATGATGTTCCTATAACTGTTCTAAAAGAGAGTGCAAGTGAAATAGCAGTGCCACTAGGCAACAGGATCTATTTTGGGACCTTTGTTATTTGTTTTATATATGAATAAGCTGTACGAACATTTAAATATTCCAAATTTATTTTAATTTGCCGATGATACCTCATGTTTGGTAACGGAATCTTCAATGGCACTTTACCTATATCTCTACTAAAACCAAAGAGGTTACGTTATCCATTTTAAGTAGAAACACCCTGTATTTTGGTTTTGGAACAATCTGTATATTGATTAAATTGATTATTAGAT